AAAAATTCGAGATCTAGTAGTTCCGAAAGGAAATTTATATTTCTAATTAAGGCACGAGAGAGAGCATCCTTCGGCATTAAAAAAAAACCCCATCGAACCCCTGTAGGATCACTCTACGGGGAGTTAAACCCCCTTGAAGTGAAAACACTTAAATGGCCATAACTTCCGAACGCGCCGGCTAATCTGGTCCAGTTTCTGCATGATATCATCTTTAATGATACTGCAGATTCTCACAAAATTATCGTTCTCGGACATGATCCCGTGACGGAGATCTTGAGATTTCGCAAGCGCACCCGAAGCTTCCCCGCCATTTTTCATTAGGAAAGCGATGAAATAGAAGTTTCATTTTTATCCACGTTGTTGAATCTTTAATGACACTGCAGGTTCTCACAAAATTATTGTTCTCGGAGATGATCCCGTGACAGAGATCTCGAGATTTCGCAAGCGCACCCGAAGCTTCCCCACCATTTTTCATTAGGAAAGCGATGAAATAGAAGTTTCATATTTATCCACGTTGTAGCTGAGATTTCAACGATTAAAACGCGCTTTTAAACATCCAAATACGAGTACGCTAAGGGGTTTAATTATCCGTTTGAAAAAACGCCTAAATTTTGCGAGTTTCGCTCGAGGCGCTCGAGGAACAAATGCTTGACGCGCGTGGTAGGGTAATAGACCCCCGAGCGCCTCGAGCGAAACTCGCAAAATTTAGGCATTTCTTCAAATGGATAATTAAACCCCTTAGCGTACTCGTATTTGGATGTTTAAAAGCGCGTTTTAATCGTTGAAATCTCAGCTACAACGTGGATAAATATGAAACTTCTATTTCATCGCTTTCCTAATGAAAAATGGTGGGGAAGCTTCGGGTGCGCTTGCGAAATCTCGAGATCTCTGTCACGGGATCATCTCCGAGAACAATAATTTTGTGAGAACCTGCAGTGTCATTAAAGATCCTACAGGGGTTCAAAGGGTTTTTTTTTTAATGCCGAAGGATGCTCTCTCTCGTGCCCTAATTAGAAATATAAATTTCCTTTCGGAACTACTAGATCTCGAATTTTTTAAAAAGTTCCAAAATGCACTTTTTTACTCCAACCCCTGCCATTCGGTCATTTTGTATCCGATCGGGACAAAACCTTTACTATTCGAACGGGAAGGAAATTTCCTAAAAAATATGTTTTTGGTTTTTCGAAATCTGTCATACTTTCACAGATATGTAAAAAAATGCAAGTGTTGCACTTCAATTGGACATTACTGTATATTTACGAGTAGCCATTTATATACGAGCAAAAATGGTTGACAAAATACATTGCAAGATACTTTGTAGTATCATCAATCTGTTTCCATCTGTTATATATAGTACTAACGTAAAGATAATGACGCGTAATGCCATAAATAAACTAGCGCAGAATTCAAACTAGTACTTTCTAAGTTCTGCAAACTAGTGCCACCCTCAAACAATTCATGGAAAACTAGATCATTTGAAAGATAGAACCCCGAGTTTCTCCCATAGATGACGCCTAGCTACTATAGCTTCTACTAGCGTGCCATGTATTCAGCATTCGTGCGCTACTTTTTCAGTTAGTAAAACTTGGATTTTTTCTACGCAGGTTTTTATCGTAAATAATACCTTAGTGTGATAAAACACATCCTAATATATGACACGTTATGTAATATAAGATAGATATTTACTGTAATCAGTTTACAAGTGGAATAGTTTTTTTTAAATATATTTTATTTTAAAATATAAATATCGGTGAGAACATGTAAACTACATTAACTCTAAACCTACCAACAACGGGTCATTTGGATCTTTTAAAGTGAAAAATACATTTATAAAAAATTATCGGTAGATTTAGTGTTAATGTGACCAACGCAAATATGTCGAATTTACTATATTTGCAATTCATGAACTTTATGATGATAGTAATAAATGGACATTATACTTTTAAAAATATACAAACGATATTACCTATTATTATGGATCAGTCCTAATTCTAAGTCGAATATAACAAAAATAAATAAAACTACATACTTCTATCCACCCTTCACACATACATATTGCATACTATTAAAATATTGTAACCGCTATAATATCTAATATAATGACATAATGATTGCATCTGAATCGATTATAATACAAACGCCAGTTTTGCGTAGAATGCGACAAAACGTGGCAACCCATGCGGTGAATACGGCTTCTCATATTGCAGGATAAACATCCAGGGGTCAGTTGGAGTTATCCGCACACCGCTGATTTGGGTCCTGATTTCAAATGTTTGGTCCCGAAAAGATATACGAAAGAATGGACTCCGTTTTTAGGTCCTCGTCCCTATTTGCTAATTTGAAAATTCAATAAAAGAAAAGATATACTAATAAAATCTTAGGAATAAGACCATCTGACATAGTATCAGACATACATTTGTTCATGAAAAACTGTCCGTCCGTCTCGGTCAGGTGATAATCGGCGAAATGGACGAAAGCGTTATCGTGACGGAGTACGCCGGGACTACGATGTTGGCAGATGGGAATGCCGGTACAGAGAGCGCCTAGTTATGTTATCATGGGTTTACAAACTCGCTATTCAAGTAAAATGTGTTTCTCTACAGTTTCAAATGCATATAAAGAAATAACAGGTTACACCTACATATAATTGAACGACAAATTAATATCACACGATATGGCTTACAAAATTGTGTAACTTCATGTAATATGTAAAAGAATTTAAAAAAAGCAGAAATTAATTTCTTTGTGACAAATCATTCTTTAATATGCATAAAACAATATGACTACGTCTAATTGGGACAATTTCCAAGTTCAAGAGCATTACTTCTGTTTCTGAAGTACTTCACTGATTTCAAGAATGAGCTACAGATCGAATTATACAATATTAATTTGACATGTAATGAAAGATATAAGAATGAGCAGAATCCAGAGATTTCTACCGAAATAATTGTCAGAAATACGAAGATTTCGGAAATTATTTTGTGATACCCATAATCGAGTAACTGGTTTTGTCTTATATTACTATAATTTATTTTCTGCCTTCGGAAGATGCTGCGCAACCTGGATGATCTTGCGAAACAGTTCTACAACTGCAAAACAAGTGAATAAAGCGTAGTAATAGAGAAGTGAGTTCGTTTGTATTTGGAACTTTCGGTAACTCGTGCTGCAGTCGAATACAATGGCTGCGCAAAGTTTCTTCAGAGCTAAACAAGTTTATTTAACTTACTTTACCTACCCCCATCGTCTCGGCCCCTCTTGCCCCTCGTCTCCTTGGTAACTTTAGCCTTGCAGCCACCTCCTTCTATCTCCAGCAAGCCCAGGCACTCCAGAGGTCGAGGTGACCGAGGCTGCGCAGCACCCATCTACCTGCAATAACGGCAAGTTTTCAGAAAGTTTTCGACAGATTAACGACTATTGGAATTGTTCAAGTTATGGGAAGGTTGATGGTGGACACTGCTAGTGGCTATAGTAGAATAGAAGAGGCTTGGTGGCCGGAGGGGAACTTGAGAGTGAGATCCCGCCTGGGAGTTGAATATCCCACGAATTATCTCAACGAAAAAACAGGTGGGGAGGGGAGAGAGAGAGAGGGGAGGGGAAAGAGAGGGGAGGGGAGAGAGAGAGAGAAGAGAACATCGAGAGAAGAGAGCCAACAAAGGGAAAAAACACTATGATGAAGTGCAGTCAATATCCAAGATTGGATCTGATCTTCAAAAAAATTGAACAGCATTGTCCTCTTTCATAGATTGACAACACTGTTAGGTATACCTAGGTAAAATAAACCAGTTACGTTCAAAATAGGTACAACAAAGGTTAGGTTACGTACATGTTGGAGATTAAAAAATTTCTCACAGGATATTTGAAAAATCTACAAGTCGGGGAATACTCATCTAAAACAGGCTTGAGTCCTTTCGTTTTTCTCATTGTTGATCGGAGCCAGAAAATAAACGGTGAATGGTATGAATAGCGCGCACGTGCCTATTCCTGCACGATTGAGTGTTTGCGGTGGGCGAATTGCGTGTGGTCATTACACGCACGCTTACACTTGATAATATGTCCCACCGCGTGGCACAACTGGGATTAAATGGAAGGAGAAAGAGAATGAGAAGAGAGAGAACAAGATGCCCTGTTTAAAAATACCACGGAATGAAATTTGATATCCCTAGCAGAAATTTTCGAGCAATTCCTTAAGTGAATTAAAGTACTACTCAGCCATATTAAAGAAATGGATAAAAATTCATCATGCAGACCACATGAGCATAAATGGCCATTGCATTTCGAAAGAAAGCATAACGCAGATGTCTACGGAACGAAGGAACTGTCGTGAAGTCTATATTTTTTATGAATTTGTAAGTCTTTTGCAGAGATGAAATACGAAAAGAAAAGGATTAATCAATTTTAGTTATAGACGATAACGGCTAATATACTGGCAGTGATTTACAACTGTTATTGTTAATTCTGTTGTAAAATGTTTAAAAAAATAAGTTGACATGTGATTTCTCATTTGCGTTATCAAGATTCCTTAACCGTTTTCTAGTCGCATGTAGCCTAAAGACCGCGCACTACATATTTTTACACTAAAAAGTAATGTTAATTACGTATATACTACAAACTGATATTAATTAACTAAATACCTACCCCGTACTACCCTATGACCACAGACTACATTCCCTTCGATTCCTCCGATGCTCTCGACTACGAGCAACTAGATGATGGTTAAACACTAATTTCAATCGACATTGTAAAAACGATAAAGATAAGACGACATCAATGAATCTAAGTTATCTAACTAGCATCCATCTAATTTATAATATAAATAAATTCCATTTCTTTATATCCAATTGTAACTTATGGTAATTTATACATAGAACAATGATTAAAGAGCTCTTAATTTATAAACATGATTATTGTCAAGGTTATATATTCAATCTATTGATTTTCACAAATTGAAAGAAAATATAGGTTTATGAGGTTAGGAAAAAATCTTCACACTCTCATACATTTATCCAAACATTGAAAAAACAGTTGATAATCGAATTGGTGCACAAGATTCTTAGTTAAACTCAGAAACTTACCTACTTGTTAGATTGTACGTGTAGGATATTAATGCGCATTTTCTTAGTAGCTACTTCTTGTAATCTCGATAGCGTAGACACAAACTTGCAACGGCTAGTCTTTGCTTGAATATTTGCTTTCACGTTATCTATTCTGAATTTAGCAAGACTAGCTATATTAGATACTTTAATAAGTATTTTAAATTTCTAATTTCAACTTAAAGACTAATTTCAATAATTTACACTGATTGACGGCGCAAGCATTCTACTCTCGTGGAAATACTGTGTCTTAACGACCTTGAGAAGCTAGTTGATCATACGAAATCAAAAAGCAATGAATACTCTAAAATTTACAGCCACGGTTAGGTACTCTTGTTTGAATCTACTTCTACTTGGTAAACTAAAATTAGATTCTGTGTTGAAATACAATGAAACAATGTATTAAATTGAAACTATGGATAAGATACAAGTAGATACATAATGTGAAGCGAAATGTAAAATGAGGAAGGTTAAGGTACAAATTACAAAGTTCAAGAAGAAAAAAAATATTGCAGACTTGAGAAGACCGCTCGGGTGACGTTCAAGCCGATGCTCAAAAAATTCTGTTCCTTTGTCCAGCTGCACTTGGTCTTCTCTCTTGCGTGGGAGGACCTTTCTGGACCGTTGACCAATTAGCCAGTTGCATCGTTTTTGGGCATGGTCTGATTGGCCAAAGGGCCTGCTAGATGGTGCGCGCGTCTCAATACATTTTCAAATCTGGCAACGGTTTCAACATACCGCCCGCCTTGAAAGAATATCTTTCAATGCACTTATAAATATAAAATGTAAATTAAAATAAGAAATTACAACTACATCACATAATAAATTCATACATTTAGTTAAGATTGCTAACGTATATAAGTAAATTAAAGCTAATTCATTACACACAAATGATTATATTAATGTTCAATACATTTTACCTAATTAAGGTTCACTAAATGTATGTTAAATGACACCGTAAAACACTCACGTTTATTGTTGCTGGGCTGAAGAATTATCCATGGTGCTGCTTGAATCGTCCTTATAATCAATTGGCAATATGCAAATTTTTTATACTGGCCTCTTGATTTCTCCATTTGTTACTTGAATTGATACGACCCTGGTCATACCATCCTTACCAGGATGCAACTGTGTGATTCGACCAAGTGCCCACCGTAGAGGTGGAACGTTGTTTTCTTTTATCATAACCAGCATCCCTGGTTTAATCATGCGTGTGTTACGATCACCCTTTTTCCTTGGCATGCATTGCAGTTGTGAGAGATACTCTTGCGTCCTTCTCTCTCAAAAGTGCTGGTACATTTGTTGTACGTGCCGATACCTGTTTAATCGATTTTCGTTCACATCACGCAGATCTTCTTGTACAGGTGCTATTAAAGAGTCTCCGATTAGGAAGTGTCCGGGAGTGAGAGGAGTAAGGTCGTTGGGATCGTTGGATAAAGGGGTAAGAGGCCTGGCATTTAAACATGCTTCAATTTGAGTAAGTATTGTGTAAAATTCTTCGTAAGTAAGACGCGTCTCCCCGACTACTCGCTTTAAATGGTATTTTGCCGATTTTACAGCACCTTCCCATAGACCGCCAAAGTTCGGTGCGCTCGGAGGTATAAAATGCCAATTGATTGACAAATTTGACAAAAAATTTGCAATCCCGGTTTGAAATTCATCTTCATTTAGCAGGTTACGCAGTTCAATCATTTCATTGTTTGCTCCGACGAAATTTGTTGCGTTATCTGAGTAGAGGTTCTTACAAAGCCCGCATCGAGCAATAAACCGTTTTAAACAATTTAAAAACGTCTCTGTCGATAGGTCGACTGCAAGCTCGATGTGTACAGCCTTTGTAACCATACACACAAAGATGCATACGTACGCCTTTAATGCGGTGCGAAACCGTCCCTTCTCCTTAATCAAAAACGGTCCTGCGTAATCAACTCCGCAGTTATAAAATGGGCGTGCAGGTGTGACTCGTACCGATGGTAAGTCTCCCATTGGATAATTCATTAACACTGGCTGTACATGGAAACATGTGACGCATTTAAGTAAGATCCTTTTGACAATGTTTTTACCCGTTAATGGCCAGTATGTTCGACGAAGAGATGAAAGTACAGTGTGACACTCTGCGTGTAATAGTCGTTCATGTTCATTTTCTATTAATGCTCGCGTGAACTTATGTTTTGACGCAAGCACGATTGGGTGTTTTTGTGCGTACGGAATCGGCGCGTTAACCAGCCGCCCGCCTACTCGTAGAATGCGAGTGTCATCCAGAAATGGGTTTAACTGCGTTAACATCCTGGTTCTTTGGTGCTGTTCGATTGACTTGCCCCTTTGCAATAGGTGAATTTCCTTTCCAAATGATTGAGCTTGCGAGAATTTTATAACTCTCATTCTCGCTTGCTCAAGCTCTGCTGCGCGCAAGTGCCGAGGTTTTGATACAAATTTTAAATCGTTCCTTCCATTTTTCCGTTCATTTATTCTCACCTTGCAATTATTGATAAAACGCAATATTTGAGCTGTTGCTCGAACAATTAAATGATACGTTGATATTTTTGGGTAAAATTCTTTATCCGTGGGTTCATTGTAATCGTCTTCAGTTCGTTCGTTATCAATCTGCTTTGCGCTGAAGGTGTGTAAAACCTTTCGCTCTTCTGGAACGTCAATTATGTCCTCTACAATTGAAATTGGCCACTGATTTCCTTCTAGGGATAGCCACGACGGTCCTGACCACCACAAGTCAGAGTCACGCAACTCAGCGGTGCTCACGCCGCGTGAAATAAGGTCTGCAGGATTTTGAGCTGATTCGACGTGGTTCAAATTTTCGTTTGTCAAATCCTGAATCTCCGCTGTACGATTAGTGACAAACGTTTTCCATTTCGTTGACGTGGCTTTAATCCAAGCTAAAACAACCATCGAATCACTCCAATAATACCATTGCTCCTTTTTCACATTGCAAGCGACAGATACTTTATCTGAAAGTTGAGCTAATAACACCGCACCTAATAATTCGAGTCGCGGTATTGACGTTGCCTTTAACGGCGCGACTCGTGATTTTGCGCATAATAATTGTATTTTTCGAGTGCCCTCTGCGTTGATTGAACACACATAAATACATGCCCCATAAGCATGCTCTGACGCATCGCAAAATCCGTGAAATTCGAGTTTACTAAACTCTGCCGATGATACGTGCCTCGGTATCACTATTTCATCGATATTCAGTATATCTTGATAGATTTCATTCCAACTTGTGTGTCCATTTTGAGGGACTGATTCATCCCAATCTAATTTTAACGATCATAATTTTTGCATCATTATTTTGGCTTGAATAAGAGCCGGGCCTACAAGTCCGAGTGGGTCGAAAATTTGCGCGATAATCGAAAGAATCGTTCTTTTAGTTATCTTTCGTGATTCGGTCACTTTCACGCGGTATTTTAACGTATCATTTTTCGGGTTTCACACTAATCCTAACGTTTTTGGATCTTTTTCTCCATGAATAGGTACGTCCTCGTGCTCCTTTTGATTGCCGTCTTGAATAATTCGCAGATCGTTCGATGCCCATTTTCTTAATTCCAAACCCGCGGAATCTAATATTGACGTCCATTCAGCCTTTAATTGACAGGCTGCTTCAAATGTCTGAGCGCCTGATAGCAGATCGTCAACGTAAAAATCGTGCAAAATTCCTTTGCTCGCTTCTGGATATCTTTCCTTATTTTGTAATCCGAGTTCGTGCAGGCATCTTGTTGCCAAAAATGGTGCTGATGCTGTTCCATACGTAATCGTATTTAATTCGTATATCTTTACCGGTGAGTTCCTATCAGTGCGCCATAAAATTCTCTGCATTGCTCTTTGCTCCTTTATTATTTTATACCCTCTGAACATCTTAGCTACGTCGCCAGATATCACGTACCGATGGATTCGAAACCGTACCGAAATAGAAAAAAGTTCGTCTTGGACGGGAATCCCGATATGCTGTGCTTCGTTAAGTGAGATGCCTGTAGTTGTTGTTGCTGAGCCATCAAAAAAACTCGTACTGGTGTAGTAGTGCTTTCTCCATTTATAATTGAATGGTGAGGCAGATAATAATGTGGTATACTATCATCACACAGTTCCGGCGGTACCTCAGTCATGTCTCCAAGCCTCTCGTACTCCTGCATAAAACCCACGTACTGTTTCTTTAATTCAGGGTACTTATCAAGCCTTTTTTCAATAGACAATAGACGCTTGTATGCCATTTCTCTTGAAAGTCCAAGCAGCGAAAGTTCTGTCTCCTTGAACGGAATGCTTACCACAAACCTTCCCGTTTCGTCGCGCGTTATAGTTTCTCTAAAATGTTGTTCAGCTGGATCTTTCTCTAAGAGTTGTTCCTTTGACTTAGAGAAAGAATGATCAATCACCCAAAATTTTTCAAGTTGTGCATTTAGGTCGCTATTTGTAATTAAGTTGCATATAACTTTGTTGCCTTTTGGTTGTGCAGGTAACTGCACGTTGCCACCAACGATCCATCCGAGTAAAGTTTTCTGAAAATACGGTTCGCTTCCTTTAACTTGATTTGTCCAACGCATAATAGTTCGTAGAACAATGCTGTTCCAAGCAGCATATCAATGGGTTGAATCTGATCGAATGCTGGATCGGCCAATTCAATTCCTTTCGGCACATCGATGCGCGATGATGCGATTCTTTGCGTAGGTAGCTCGTCGCTTATTTTCTTAAGTACCAGGCATGTAATAGTTGTAGTAAAATCAGTAACGCGTGAGCTAATCTTTACTGTCGTTTGAAACGGTACGTTTTGACTTCCCTGCTCTATACCCGATAAAGTTATACCTACTTCTTTGCACGATAAACCCAACCGCTGACAGAGTTCAGTAGTAATATGCGGTTGCGATCCTTGATCTAGAAGTACGCGACACTCGTGCTTGTTACCGAATTTATCAAATATATAGATGCGCGCAGTTGCTAATAACACGTATGATTCGCGGTTCTGAGCGGAGTGAACACTGAAGTTCTTTTGAGCCCCTGCGCTCGTATTAATCTGTTCAATTTGTTGCGGAGTTGCGGGTGACTCAGCTGGCTTCTCAAGGTGGAGCAGTGAGTTATGTTTGCGTCGACACTTTTTGCAAGGGCCAAACGTACACTGCATGTTTTGATGAGTGCTCGATAAACAATTATAACACAGTTTATGCTCGCGCACCCTTTGTATCCGCATTGATGCAGGAAGTTTTTTGAACTCCTCGCACGCGTAAATGGCGTGCTCTCCCTTGCATAACACACAGCTCTTGCTGCTGGTCGAAAAGGCTTTCATTTGTTTCGTGCCGCTGCTTTGCGGCTTATTTCCTTTGTTCGAGGTGTTCGCAGGTGTCGAGTTCTTTCCCGTTTTATACAAATATTTGCAATGCCTTTCTAAAAAGATTTTAAACTCGCTTAATGTAACGCGTTCAGTTTTAGTTGCTATCTCCTTTTCCCACTCTCTTTTCATATCGGCATTTAATTTTGACCAAAGTAAATACATAATCAAAGTGTTCCATGACTCAACGGGTTCTTCCAACGTACTCAAGCATTTTAAATGATTGTATACCGTATCTATCAATAATCTAAGTTCACTCTGAGAATTATTCTTGACTGCCGGTGCTTCGAAAAGTCCTCTGACGTGGTGAGTTAATAGTTCGTTCTCGTCTTCATAACGTGACTTTAACGTTTCCCATGCTGCTGCATAGTTATCCGCTGTTAACGTAAAGGCTGCGATCGCGCGTTTTGCTTCTCCGGTAACCGATTGATTTAAGCAATGAAGCTTTTCTATAATTGAAAAACCTTTGTTTTTGTCAACCATAGATATGAACGAGTTGCGAAACGATATCCAATTTTCGTAAGTACCATTAAATGTAGGTACTTCTAGTTTCTTCACGTTCATACTCTGTCCAACTGAATCGTCCGCTCGTTGAGTATTTTGATTATTTGCGTTGTCGGCTGATGCGCGTGACGCCGTTCCATTCGCGCGTTCAATAATTCCTCGCGCTTTCGCGATCGCGCTATAATAGTTCGACTCGAATGTGGCTCTATCTTTTTCTTGCTCACCTAGCGCGTCTTCATCGTCGGCGACCGCTAATTCAATGATCGATTGCGCCGTCTCGTATTTATCATAAAGCAACTCCGCCTTTTGTAACCGCACTCTTATATTACTAACGTTAACGGGTTCTTGATTTAAAAGAGTCGCGAATCGCGTAAGTTGACCTTTGATAGTCGTTCGTTCATGTTTTGCCTTCTCCATCTTATCTTACTCAAATTGAAAGCATGAATAATACGTAATACAAGGAAGGGAAGGAAATGTCAGAGACTCACCGTGGTCGTTCGTACGAAGCGTTATATCCAAAACGCTGCCCGCCGTGCCAATCACTGGAGGGTGTTCAATCCTGATTTTTGAGCCAATCATGCGTACAGTGTCCAGCCTGTAGTCCCCACTAGCTGAGTTCTTGATATTTGGCTTCACACACAAGTTCTATTTGCTATTAAACGCACTCGTTTAATAGTCACACGTTCACAGTTCAAACACAACTTGCACTGCAAATATTTGCACACACAAGTTCAAGTTCCGATGTTCACAACACAAGTACAAAGTACACAATTATCTACAGTTCAATGGTATTTGCACACTCGCAATATCACAATACACACTTAGTTATGCAATAGTCCACTCAATGTTCAAAGTTCAATTTAATTACAACGCAATCCGTAAGAACGGCGTTGTAATCACGTTCAATATTCACCTTTCGTCACTCGCGTTCACGAATCCGACTCGAAGGACCAATGTTTGAATCTACTTCTACTTGGTAAAATAAAATTAGATTCTGTGTTGAAATACAATGAAACAATGTATTAAATTGAAACTATGGATAAGATACAAGTAGATACATAATGTGAAGCGAAATGTAAAATGAGGAAGGTTAAGGTACAAATTACAAAGTTCAAGAAGAAAAAAAATATTGCAGACTTGAGAAGACCGCTCGGGTGACGCTCAAGCTGATGCTCAAAAAATTCTGTTCCTTTGTCCAGCTGCACTTGGTCTTCTCTCTTGCGTGGGAGGACCTTTCTGGACCGTTGACCAATTAGCCAGTTGCATCGTTTTTGGGCATGGTCTGATTGGCCAAAGGGCCTGCTAGATGGCGCGCGTGTCTCAATACATTTTCAAATCTGGCAACGGTTTCAACAACTCTGAAGTCTGAGATGCCAAAACATGAAATTGATCGGCATTTAGCAGAGTAAAACACGGAGATGATAAGAAGATACCGTACGTCTTATGCAACATCATTTTACAAAGAAATTATATAGTAAGTCTGCTAACGCTATGAGTATTATTTAAAAAATCCTATACATTCATTAAAAAGACTATTTGCAAAGAATGCACATGAAAGAGATAATACTAACTCAAGTGTATTATATAATAGATAGCAGTAGGTTAGTAGACTATTCAATTTTAAATCGCCTAGTTCCTAAATCAAGAAACTGACATAAAGTAAATTACCAATGACTGACCATGTCCCAGTTACCAAACAAAGCATGTGTGAACGAGAGATGGAAATCTGGTTTCTCATGGGTGGCCAGTGACTGGGACCGAACTTTAGGTGTCAAGCCATTGGGACGTTTATCATAATGGTGTTAAATGAGTAACATTTTACGTAAAAAGGACTCATCTTAAAATAACCTAACTCGCTAGTTCCTTAGCGAAAAAGATTTTTTTTCACCCCTCCGGTTGTTCTCAAAAACTATTTGGAAAATTTCTGAGACATAAACGAGATACTATTTGCAACGAGAGAAATTACTCGACATACCCAATAGAAATTTCCAGCTATATCTATATGTATAATGATAAGTCTCTAGGCAAACTCTGAATTAAGGAAACCAAGCTGCACAGTTTTTCTCACAACTACTGGGCCACTCTGATTCATTGAATTGAATGATTAATTGAAAGCACGATATTTCAAAAGCTTTCGTGATGCATGCAGCACATTTTTCACATTTAGAAAAATTGTTTACATTTTGTTACAGCTACTTATTTTTCGACAGTACTTCTCAAAACCTATAAATTATAATTGGCTGCCGCAGTCCAGCTCGAACCCTTTGACTTGTTTCAAGAGCAAGCTACAACTAATAATATTTCGTGTAATTTTCGAACTATGCGATACTCAGCCAGGCAAGGACGTACTACTTTGCATAAACTTCAGTTATGTAATGAATTGCAACGTACACAACAGCCGCGCGGCTAGTAATGAATAAAGCATTTCGGCAATCATCATGCTCTACAATAAATAAATAATAAGCAATTAAACTTTTTTTTAACTTAGTTTGCGAACTCTGCTGGTGTTTTATGTTGGTACTCCAAGATTGTGTTGCCGTATATTAAAAAGTACCTTCATCTCCGTTTCCGGTCTCTTTTTTTTACGGTTATCCTAGTAGAAATTTAATCGAGGAAATACCCAGTGTCTTTAAAGTTTATCAAGATTCAGTAAATGCGCTTTAAAAGTATAATCAGGGCACTATCATGTGCCATGGAACTTTCTTTGTATTGCCTTGATTCCTGCGACGCAGGTACTTCTAGCGGGACTAATATAAAAATCATACCTGGGCATTTAATATCATGTAAACGTGACTGAATAATTTTCATATTACACCCAAAAACGAAAGCAGTTTTACATTATCACATTTGGTCACTTTATAATACATGAAATATGTAATTTATGTTTTCTTAGAGACACATGCGTTTACCTTCACCCCCCTTTCTTTAACAATCAACACAAAAAAATAACAATTCTGACATCAATAACAGATGACGCTACTTCCGCCTTTCACGCGCCTTGATTCAATCACGGCGGTTTCTGGACCATTTGTACTAAGGTAGTTAATACCTATAATTAATAAGTTAATAATTAAAATAGCTTAAGGGGGGCGCCTACATTAGGAGGCCAAAATCATGCACTTTTTCATGATTTTTTTACAAAGAAACTATACAATGGATCGTTTTTGAAATTTTTACTGTTTATTTTCCATATCTTAAGGTTTATAAAAAAAATGTTTTCATACAATTTTATTAATTAAACCAAAAGTTATAAAGAAATGAACTCGAGTGCTTTTGAAAATTTCTTCTCCACGGCGTGCAGAATAGTGTCTCAGAGAATCATCTGAAACACAAAAGTAAACATTTTTTGTAAAATTGATGAGTATAGCTTGTATATGAACTAAAAAAATCATTAATTTATTGAAATACAAAAAAAGTAGCTGTTTAAACAAAAAGTTGATTTTTGAAAAATAATTTTCGTTTTTGTTAGGTTAATCACTTTTTTTAGCGGAAATTTTTATCAAACTCTTGTTTAAATAGAAGGCAATTTAATAAACTTTAATTTAAAAAAAAAAAAGCAAGTGGATCCGTTGAGTAGTCTTTTTTTTCATCGTGTACGCTGTTTTGAAAAACATCGTTTCGAGAAAACCGCGATTAAAATTTTCGTGCAAGAAAAATAGTTGATAAAAACTTATTATTGTTTATTTACCTGAACTTTTTGGTCAATCTGCTATCCCTGCTCCATAAAAAAGTCCCTCCTCTTCTTCATATAATTTATTTGATTCAAGTTGTTGTTGGTTGTGGTACTTTGTCGTTTCCGGCCTAACTGATCTGCTTCGGTTTTGGTTTTGGTGCGGTTTTCATTGATCCTGGAAGCAACTTGTCGGCAAACTGGCCCAATAATTATGTCCATGCTTGACATAATACGTAGTACAGATAAATAGCCCTCGTTGAATATTCCAACGGCAATTCAAACGGCGATTTCGATGATTTGGCGGCCGCAGTGGAGATGTTTTGGTGCCAGTTGCCAAACCGTCGCGTTAAAACTTTCGTTAGCGTTTTGTGTATGTCCACCTACACACCTCTCGATTAAATCTTTTCTAGAAAGATCTTGAAATATCGGAAGAAAAATGTTTAGCGAAAGTAACATCCAAAGGAGGTGGATGGTCGTATTCAATTCTCCGACCGTTAGAGATTCCTACCTGCCGCTCTGCTCGCAGCGCTCGGAGCACGCGCATTACACATGGATATTTCGACCATTTACAGTTTGAATTCAAACTTAGGACTTCAGGACCATATTCTATACATAAACTACTTTCGATTTAAGCAAAAAAAGAAAACTCGATTTTTTTGACCCTCTAATGTAGGTGCCCCCCCTTAAGTACTCACATTATTTCCACATTCGCATAGCAAATCTACACCACTTTATATATTCAATTGTAATTCATGTTGAGACTCAGACTGAATATGTATTAAAGCCACATGTATACTGATAAGAACGCATGTTGCAGTATCGAGGCTAAAAATTAAGTTTCCAGTATATTCATTTTGCAACAACAAAGTTCCGATTTACTATCAAATCCACCATGTGACCTTTTTACATACGTAGTCCACCCAAGTGTTGACCAGTTTTACCCACTATATTATAATTGAGACGTGGGCCAGGGAATGGCCTAGTTACAACAGCTACAACTTACGCTCCAGTAAGCACGCACATGACAACCGCGCTGCAAGTCTAATGTAAGTGATTGAGCGGTATCTGCTGAGCAACAAATACTTATTATTACTATTAATAACACACTCTTGTCCAGCAGCGCACAATTTATTTTTCTGTTTGCTTATCATTAACAAAGTATATCTCATATATTGATATATGTATAAGCATTCTGCATTCTGCGTGTTTCACGCGTCTACATTAGTCACCTAGGATTGCATGTAACTGATCGCATACATTTTGAAGAAGCATTATTCCGCGTTTGAGGTTGGGTTTGTGGGTCTGTTAGTTACCTTTCTGGTTTCTTATCATTTTGACAGTGATTAATACTTATAATGATCACTTGTGCATACAATGATAATGTTGCTAGAAAAATATTATTCGCGAGGATAATTATATTATAGCATGACAATGTATAAATATCAGTTTTCAATATTCTATGCATAGGACGGATCTATTGTATTTCAAAACTCAAAGTAATAACAAATTGTATGTTTCATCTTTATAATAAAGTAGCCTCCGAGCCCTTGTCCTATTTTATTTTTGGAAACCCTTTATTATTTCCAATCTTATTTGTGTACCTAATAAATTAATATTTTTTGGGTTTGTTTAATGAGATGTAGATACTACATTCATAGTCTTAGTCTAGATATCAAACTGTGTATCTGGTAATATTTAATACGCCGTTGAAGCTATTGAATTCTGAGAATCTTATTTCTGGCTA